TTTCTTGCTTTCGAACTGCTAGGTTGGCAGGAGCTGGAAATAGAGACGGGAGCTCACTCCGTCATGCGGCACTCAGGTCTTGAACTGCTGAACTACCGACCTTCCGAATAAATAAGAACATGAGCCCTGCTGGATCAGACTAATGAGGGTCCATCTAGCCCAGTATTCTGTCTCACACAGAGGCCAACCAGTTCCTCTGTACAGCCAACAACACGGCAGAGAGGCCGAGGCCTTCACAAGAACATAAGAAGAGCCCTGCTGGATCAGACCAATGGTCCATCTAGTCTAGCATCCGTTGTCACACACTGGTCAACCAGTTCCTCTGGAAGGCCAACAACAGAGCAGAGAGGCCAAGGCCTTCACAAGACTGTAAGAAGAACCCTGCTGGATCAGACCAGCAATTCATCCAGTCCAATACCCCACCTCAGACAGTGGCCAGCCAGTTCCTCTGGAGGACCAACAACTGGGCATAGAGACCAAGGCCTTCCCCTGATAAGAATGTAAGAATATAGAAGAGCCCTGCTGGATCAGACCGATGGTCCATCTAGTCCAGCATCCTGTCTCACACAGTGGCCAGCCAGTTTTTCACTGAAGAGACTACACACGTCTGACGAAGTCTGAGCTCTGACTCAGGTAAGCTGGAAGAAACAATTACTCTGAAAGGTGTCACTTAAGTTTTGTTTTCTTACTGGTGTGGTGGAGCGGCTGGAGAACTGGACTAGAACCAAGTTTGGGTCTCCACTACGCCATGGAAGTTTGCCGGATGGTTTTGAGCCAGTCACACACCCTCACAGGGTTACTGTGAGGATAAAATGAAGAAAGGGAGAATGTTGTAAGGCACTTTGGGTCCCCACTGGGGAGAAAAGCAAGGTATAAATAAGAACATAAGGAGAGCCCTGCTGGATCAGACTAATGAGGGTCCATCTAGCTCAGTATTCTGTCTCACACAGGGGCCAACCAGTTCCTCTGTACAGCCAACAACACGGCAGAGAGGCCCAGACCTTCCTCTGATGTTGCCTCCTGGCACTGGGATCCAGAGGGTTAGTGTCGCTGAAGGTGGAGGTTCCCCTCAGTCACCATGGCCAGTGGCCCTTGACAGACTTTTCCTCCATGAGTCTATCCAGCCCCCTTGAAAGCTGTTTATTCCCGCGGCCATCCTCTGGAAGGGAACTCCACATTTTAATCACTCTCTGAAGTAAACCCAGAAAAAAGACAGACTACCTCGGCCACCCTTTGCAAAGGGATGGAGCAGTATTGGGGGGGGGGGGCAGTTGCAATTGCAAATCACCGCTCTGCTCACTCCGCTGCCCAACAAAGACCTCGAGCGGCACCAACTCTCGCCCCCCTCCGCAGAGCCTCCCCCTCGCTGCCTCTCTCCGCTTCCCAGCCCCGGGCGCCGGGCCGAAAGAGGCCTGCCCGCCCGCCTGCCTGCCTGGCCGGCTCACATGACCCCGCCCGAGGCGCCTAATCCCGTCTGCCTCCGCCCGGGCGCCCAGAGCGCCGCTGGAGCAGGATGCACAGAGGCTGCTGCAGCCCGCAGAGGAGGAGCCGGGCCGGCCTGGCGCTCTGGTGGCTGCTGCTGCTGCTGCTGGGCGCGCTCGGCCCTCCGGGCACCTCTGCCCAGCCGGCCCCCAAGGACCCAGGTAGGCGCGCTGCTTTCGGCTCGCCGGCGCCCAGCACCGTTGCACGGGAAGGCGATTGAGGAGCAACACGTAGGGGGCTGCTGCGATCCTGTCCAGCCAGCTGGGAGGCCGTCGTGTTAGTCACGCCAAGGCGCAAGGCAAGCCCCAACTTGCGCGTGGAGGAAACGCTCCCGCTTTCCAGGCAGAGGTGGCGGGGCGCGCTTTCGGAGGCGCCAAAGCCGTTCCTGGCGCAAAGAGGATGCGCGCGGCAGACTCGGGGGCTGGAAACGCCGGTTGCCACGGGGCAAGTCTGGGCCACGGCTCACTAGCTCGCCCGCTGGGCTGGGCGAGCCTCCTTGCTGTCGGTCCGGGAGTAAAGACTCTTCAGAACTCACCTCTGGCTTACCCTCTCTTAAAGTACTTGTGAAGTTCAGGTCTAGGACTGGCTCGACGCCCTAACCAAAGCACTGCCTGGTGGCGTAGTGAGTACTAACCTGACTTTCGTACATTGCTATCGATGCAAAGAATGAGAGCCCCCCTTCCGGACAGTCCGGCTGGCATCGTGAAGGTGCTTGTTAGGAAGGAAGCTGCATTGCATTTATGGCTGCTGGACACACGCGACAGGCAGGAGCCCTCTGCAGCATGACCCATATGTGCTACACGAGGCTTACAGCAGCAAAATGTCTGGTTCGTGCATGCATGCATGCGTGGATAGGTATCTGTTAAGATTCAGAAGTTTGCCACAGGCAATACCAGGATTAAATCTGTGCAGTCACATCTGCAAAATGGACACATTTCACACATACAAGTTATCTCTTGACTTTGCAGTAATCAGTGTGGCATGTGCATGGGTGAATCCAGCTGTTACCCTGCTTGCGGCTTCCTGGAGGAATTTTGTGGGAAACAGCATGTAAGATTAGAGGGTCCTCATGCCAACTGTTTAAGTAAAACAGCCCTGTATTGCATTTGTACAGTGATGGGTAGATGACACCCCGACTGGATAGCTTTTCATAGACAATACATGTAGTAACTGTGCATGCTGCGAATCTTGCAAAGCTCTTGACTTTGTCCAGGAAGGCTTTGTCCAGGTGGCTCTTGACTTTGTCCAGGAAGGCACATTCTTAAATGGGAGTCCATTTTAAATATATTATTGACCATATGCCTTAACTGCTAAAAGAGCTGGGATGTGCATCCTTTGCTTTGTAAATTTCACACTCTTCAGTGGACAGGAGGGATTCTAATATAGACAACAGAGGCTGAAGTTATGCCATTCCTGTCTTAGAGAGTTCTACTCAATTCTATACAATAAGGTTTACTCCAGGAAAGTGTTTTTAGGATCACTCTGTTAGAGTGATATGTTAGTCTTTGAGGTAGTACTGAAGTATGGCTTGTGGTGCAACAGAGTAACACAGCCCCCCCCCCATTTTGAAACAGGGCTATGCTAAAAAGTGAAATGTTTAGATTCCCACTGTAGCAGGAATCTAAAGGTAACCTATTTCCTCTTCCCTACATGACATTAAGGAGCTGCGGTGGCTCAAGTGATTAAGACGCTGAACTGCAGGCTGTGGAAGGTCAGTAGTTCAGCAGTTCGAGACCCAGGTGCCGCATGATGGAGTGAGCTTTCTCCATCTCTAGTTCCAGCTCCTGCCACCCTAGCAGTTCGAAAGCAAGACATTGCAAGTAGATAAATAGGTACCACTTTGGTGGGAAGGTGACAGCGTTCCGTGCGCCTTGGTGTTTAGTCCTGCCGGCCACATGACCACGGAAACGTCTTCGGACAGCGCTGGCTCTTTGGCTTTGAAATGGAGATGAGCACCACAACCCTAGAGTCGGATTCGACTGGCTTTCGAGCAAGGGACCCTTTACCTTTTACATGACATTAAGTCCATGAACTGTGTTGAAGACCCAACACAGCAACCCACCTGGATCTGTCTTCGTGGAAGGCACCACATTAAGCCACATGGAATGGAAATCCATCCGCCTCACTTCAGACCAACACAGATGCCCACCTAAACTTATGCACATTTACTCAGAAGGAAAGTCCATCAACGCTCCTAAGTAAATGTGCATCAGATTAGGCTACATCATGCAGAATTTATAGGAATAGAAATCTCAGTGCTTGATCTGAATGCGTGGAACTATTTAGACCAGAGGTGTCAAACTCATTTGTTATGGGGGCCGGATCTGACATAAATGTCACTTTGTTGGACTGGGCCATGTGTGCCATAAAACGTAATGTCAGGTACTGGAGATAGAAACTGTATAAAGGACAGCAGCTGGTAAACTCCGAGTTGGTGTATCCTCACTGCAAGGCCTCATGGGCTGGGAGGGGGATACAAAGGAGAACCCGCATAGCCAGTGGTGCAGCACTGGGCAGACGCTCCTACGCTGCTTGACTGCTGCAGACAAGAATGTTCTGCCATGCTGAAGCCACAGTCATAGTGGCTTTGCCCACTCTTCCCTGAGCAGTCTCCTTTTCCCTCCCTTACACTAGTTGCTTGTGAGCCGCATAAGAGGCCTGGACGGGCCGGATCCAGCCCCCGGGCCTTATGTTTGACACTCCTGGTTTAGACAGGGATACACATCTTTTAATTCATTGCCAGAGTTTTGTTCCTTACACTGCTTTATTACCTCTTGCCTTCCCTGTCAATCTTAACCCCACCCCCCACTCCCATCTCTCTCCTACAATGTTGTGGTGGAATGTGCCATCAAATTGCAGCCAAATTATGGTGACTCCATAGAATTTTCAAGGCAAGAGACATGGTATGTCATTGCCTGCCTCTGCCTGACAACCCTGGACTTTCTTGGTGGTCTCCCATCCAAGTACTAACCAGGTCCAACCCGTGCTTAGCGTCTGAGATCTGACCATCCAGGTCATACTGCTAGTTAATAGACTGTCGAGAATTCTAGAGCTGGAAAGAACATTTTTAGGCCATTTAGACCAGTCCGCTGCTTACTGCAACAAATCTAAACTCATACGAAGGTCCAGGTCATACTGCTAGTTAATAGACTGTAGAGAATTCTAGAGCTGGAAAGAACATTTTAGGTCATTTAGACCAATCCGCTGCTTACTGAAACAAATCTACTCATACGAAGTTTTTTTTCTTTTTAAAGAAGAGGCGGATGGACTCGAGGTGAAGTGAAATTTTAAATCTTCCCCCAATAAGGAATCAGATTCGGAAACCGCACACAGGGTTATCTTGTTTAGATATCCAAAACCTACACAGAAGAATCGACAGTCTCCACTTTTCTTCCGAAGCCAGCATTGCCTTAAAACTTTTTATAGTCGACATTCAACCAGCATAAAACAACAAAAAAGTGCTGTTTCAAATAAAACCTCTAACCTTTGCTTTTCAGAAAATAAAACCCAGTGCATTGTCTCTCCTTCGTCGGAATTCCCGGAAGGATTTTTTACACAACAGGAGCGAGAAGAAGGAGGCATCATTATCTATTTCATAATCATTCTTTATATGTTCCTGGCTGTGTCCATTGTGTGTGATGATTACTTCCTACCTTCCCTGGAGATTATCAGTGATTGTAAGTTTCTCTTTATTCCCCCCTCGGTTTTGTGTTTTTTAAAAAGGAGGCCCAGTAATCTCTTCTGCAAAACCAAACAGCCATTCCTGAGATCATTATTCTGCGCACAATGCAACTATAAAAAAGTCTTCTAACAAAAAAAAAAGTTACACATAATTTGGTAGCATTTTTTTACAGGCAGTATCAAAAGCAAGAAGGGTTAAGGCTGGCAAAGAACATCAGCAAATTACTCCGTTGTATGTCAATGTTTTAACGTAGCAATTGCAAAGAACCAAACAAACTGGACTCATCACTAAGTCCAAGTTATTGAAGATGTTCCTCTCTTCTAAATATAAGTGTTTGAGGGAAATTACGTGGTTAAGCCGCTTCCCCAACCGTCTGGAGTTTTTCTTTCAGCTGACTTAGCCTGCCACCCATTTTTCCACTTGAAAACAGTCACCCTGTTCCCCACAATCTATTTACTGTGTTCCACTGAAATCTATGCTAAGACTTGGGTCTTCCATTATATAGCTAGAACCACCATATATAAATAGTAAATTGACTGGTTCCACTCTGCAGATAATGAAAGCAGCACAATGGGGCCACCTGCAGACAAAGTCAGAGTCTCTGTCTACTTGGAGGCCTCCCAACATAAGCAAAAATGTAACTATGTAAATTAACCACCACTACCGCTGGGGGAAAAACAGTCTGATGAGGACTAAATATGCCCCAAAAGGGATGGAATGTTGAGAGCGGCTGAGAAAGAGAAGGGAAAGGAGGGGAGCGGAGAAATCAGCCTCTTCAAGCCCTTGAGAATGTAGAGAATCCTGGAGAGGGAGATTTTTAATTCATGGGATTGAATTTGCTTCTCTCCATAATTCCTTACATGCACACATCTTAATCATGGGGTGGATTCAACCCTCTTCCAAGGAGCCTTCCTCCACTTTTAGCATTTATGTAGCTTTTTCAGTGTTCAAAGCACTTCCGGTACTTTCTGCTGCAGCAGTCCTTAAAACAGCCCTTGTAAAGTAGGCTGGTATTATTTCCTTTGTATTGCAATTGTGGGACAACTGACGTCGATAAACTAACAGTATACCCCTAAACAGGGTTACATATTTCTAATCCCACAGGTTTCAATGGACTAAGATGTGTGGAAGTATAGTTAGGATAGCAGTGTAGCTCTCCTTAGGCCAGCTGTCAAATTTGCACAAGAAGTGACCCTTAGAACCAGGAAACTCCGTTCACAGAACGTTTCCGCAGCACTTCCACCAAGCTCTCAGAATCGATGAGACCCAGACTTAAGCGCTGGTTTGTGTCTGTCTTGCTCCTAATCTCTGTTCATTGCAGCTCTTGGCCTCTCTCAGGATGTCGCGGGAGCCACTTTCATGGCAGCCGGCAGCTCCGCACCCGAACTAGTCACAGCTTTTCTAGGTAAAGTTAAGCAATCCTATAAACAGAAGTCCTTCCCCCACTGCAAAAAGCAGAATTTCTAACCCGGATGCTTTGCTCACAGGGGTTTTTGTCACAAAAGGAGACATTGGAGTCAGCACCATCCTCGGTTCTGCCATCTACAACCTTCTTGTGATCTGTGCTGCTTGTTGCCTCCTGTCGAGCGTGGTACGTAGCAGCTCTTGTGACACTTATGGGCTGATGGCAAAGCCAACTCAATACAAGGCCAGTTGGATTTAGCCACACTAACCAAGCGACATGCAAACCACTTAAAAACAGTGAGCTACCACAGGCACTGTGTTCTGGTAACTTTCAGAAACGTGGCGGTTGAAATACAGACAAAGCCAGACCTATGTAGCATATAGTTCATTATTAGCAAAACAAAAGTCTGGCAGCACCTTATTAAAGATTAACAATATATATTCTAAATTCTGGCAGACAGTCACGTTGGTCTGAAGCAGCAGGACAAAGTTTGAGTCCAGTGGCACCCTTAAGACCAATAAAGTTTGGTCTTAAAATGGAAATTATCAGTCCATACATATAGGTAGAGGGTGAGCAGTAAATTAACTTACTGCATAATGAAGATGTTTAACAGATTCAAGGACCATACAGGAACAGCAAGCTTAGTTTATATGGTTATCATTGGGGTGTGCACCCAAAAAATAACAACAGTATTTTTCAGGTTTGGGTATATCGAGCCCCCAAAATACCAGGTTTTCCCGATATTCATGCCAATATTGGCATTTGGGAAATAATTAGGATTACCGAATTTATTCAGCAAGGTGTTTAAAGGGACGGTCCCTTTAAATGCCTTTTGCAAGCTATGCCTTCGGGTTCACTTGCGGCTTGGATTGCCAAATGCATTTAAAGGGACCATCCCTTTAGATGCATTAGGCTTCTCCTGACCCACAGTCTAGACCACCCCACAGAAGAAGCTGGCTCCAGGATCCACCGTGCACAGGGAGATCATTCTCCCCGCTGTACAGAGCTGGGATCAGCTGGGGTAGTGAGAGCTCTGAGCTGCTGCCGCCCCAACCAATCCTGGGCTTGCAAGCTGCAAGAGAAACCAGCCAACTCAAACCAAGGCCACGCAGAGCTCTCAGCTCCTGCCGCCCCAGCTGATCCTCTCACAGTTTGGAGCTTCAAGAGAGGATCATCTGGGACGGTGCGGAGCTGAAAGCTCCGCACCACGATGCTGGGGCTGGCTCGGTATAGCTGTACCACACCCAAATAAAAGCTGAATAATATTGGCTTTTATTCAGGCTCAGGTATATCGGTAGCGGAGTACAGATCTTTGATCTGTATTCAACTGAATAAATACCTGAAAAATACCTTATTGGCTTGGTATATACCAACCAAACACCCCTAGTTACCATTTGTTTGGGTTTAATTCCAGGGGGAAATATAGCGAGGGAAATAAATATATCAAAATTGGAGGTTGATGGGCAGATGTATCCTTAATTGTGGAATGCTGAGAATAACTAACTGAGATCCTACCAGTTTGGTGGTGTAGTTAAGAGCGCAGACTCTAATCTTAATCTGGGAGAACCCGGGTTTGATTTCCCATTCCTCCACATGCAGCTGCTGGTGTGACCTTGGGTAAGTTCTTTTAGAGCTGTTCTCCCAGGAGCAGTTTGAGAGAGTTCTCTCAGCCCCACCTACCTCAAAGGATGTCTGTTGTGGAGAGGGGAAGAGAAAGGGATTGTAAGCAGCTCTGAGACTCCTTCAGGTAGTGAAGGGTGTGGTATAAATCCACTCTCTTCTTCTTCTTCTACACAGCCATTTGCCCCACTTTAAAGAAGATGCTGCTGTAAGGTCACCTCCATGCTTGAGAGGAGACAGATGGAGCGTAATGGCAGGGTCTGTTAATTACCCTTTAGCATTCCACAATTAAGGATACCTCTGCCCGTCAATCTCCAATGTTGACATATTTATTTCCTTCACTATGTTTCCCCCCAAATTAAACCCAAATAAATGGTAACTATATAAACTGAGACTGATATTCCTGTTTGGTCCTTGAATCTGTTAAACATCTTCATTATGCAGTAAGTTAATTTACTGCTCACCCTCTACCTATATGTATGGACTGGTAATTTCCATTTCATTGTATCTGAAGAAGTGTGCATGCACACAAAAGCTTATTCCTTGAATAAAACTTCATTGGTCTCAAATGTGCCACTGGACTCAAACATTTATCCTAGTATGAGTCCCATTCATGGGACAGGGCTTGCTTCTTCAGATTCAACAGGAGAAAGAAACCCCTTTAGATCAGTTTTCTGGGAAATTACAGAAAGGGAGGGAAGAGCTGAGTAAAGAGAGGCCTAGTATAAGAAATCAGGTTTGATTCTCTGTGTGCGCATCTGAAAAAGTGAACACCATCTCACAAAAGCTCATACTGGAATAAATGTTAAGTCTTTAAGGTGCCACTGGACTTCTGTTTTGATAAAACAAACTAACACGCCTGCTCACTGGAATCATTATAGTGTCCCAAGTCCCACCCCAGTTGTGATCTCACAAGCAGGTACAATACATCTTAATACGATACACAGACTCTTGTCTTCCCCACTATTACTATACCTGTCATAAAGAATGATCCTTCACTACTATACAATCCTCAGTAAGCATGACAGCAGATCATAAAAATCGCCTCTTGAAATGTATTCCTGCAGGTTTCAAGAATTTCTTGTTGGCCATTATTTCGTGACTCTCTGGCGTACACAATTAGTGCAGCGGCTGTTCTTGGCATGATAGTTGACAACAAAGTTTACTGGTAAGAGCCTGGGCGGAGTTTCATTCCCAGCTGAGAGGCCGCCCAACATACACTAACATTTTCAGTTCTTTTTTCTTTGTTATCACACTAAAGGTGAACAATGGTACAGCAGCATGATTGCCAACCACTGGCCAAGGAACAAGCCATTTGCCCAACATATTGCAAGCCTTTCGGTATTGGAAAACATTATTACTAGGGTTGTAGTTTGATTTTATCTAACACTTAGTTGGTAAGACTGAGAATTAAGGGTCACTGATTCATTTTTTTAAGCCTGTTGGGCTCTAGCATGTTACTACAACTGATAGTGAAAATATATTAAAAGATATCCTTTTGCCTTCAGCTTTTATTGTTGTGAACTACCTCAAGGACCCATTTGGTAGAAGGCCAGGGAATCAGTAAGACTTATTATTAAAGATTATCTAAAAATTGGTATTTCCTTAAACAGGAAGGTCTTGTTTTTCCTTCAGTGTCTCGAATGGATTATTATATTTGGGGGGTGATAATTTCTAATTATTGAAAAGACTGGTGAATAACCAAATAAATGGTGGGTCTAGTTTTCAAACAGAAGACTCCCCATTTTGTTTCACCCCAAAAGACTTTACCTAGAAGTAGTGTAGGTATGAATGGCCCTCTGAAACAGAGGACTGTATCTCCATCAGAACCATCTTTTGCTTGAAAAATACAAGAGGTTTCGTTGTAATGGCCAATAGTAAATTGCTTCCCTTGAGGCAGGAAAAATAACAAGAGACCTATTTTAGAATATACATTAGTAGAAACAGATGTCTTATTTTCACATGACGCAGGACTGATGTGATAACGATCACATGCAGCTCGGCTGTGAAGCTAAGAGGGCTTTCATTTATAATCACCGTCTCTCCATAGGTGGCAGTGTTATCAATGGCCATATCCTATCCCTGTGTCCCAGTACTCTTTTAGGCACTCATTTTGAGAATGGGAAGCAGGAGATGAGCATTCAGATCCAACATGAAAGTTCAGATCCAACACAAAACAATGGCTGGATTTAACTTTGGTTAGTGCAGTTGTCTGAAGGCAGGTCCGCTCATTTGACTATAATGACTTAGGTTCTGTTAAATCAGGATCAGAAGTCATGGTGTGAAAGTAGTTTATTAACCACAGTTGGTCTCAACCATGATTGTGCAGGGCGAGTGGACACAGGAGAATGTGGCTTGTTTCCTGGTGGTGTCTTTTACACACTGCCTGGCCCACCTTGGTTGCCTGCAACCTCTGAATCTGGCTTTCACAACTTAATCACCGTTAAAACAAACCACGGTTCACGTTATGTCTGTATCTGATATCCCACGTGAACCTAAGGGAAGATCAGAACTAATGAGTCTGTCAGTTGGACATACTTGTGCAGGACAGAATAGTCCAAACAAACTCCCTTTCCCTAAATGTAACTTAACCCACAAAAAGTTTTTTTTAAAAAGACTAGTGCCAGATTACACTCACCAGTTCTTTGCATTGAAAAGCTGACAGGTGAATGGCTGGGCCATGCTAGAGACAGGAAGAAATTTGTACCTTCACCTGTCTGCGGAATGAGACCTATTTGCCCGGCTTTAGTCTCCACCCCAAAAGCCACAATGAATAAGTGGTGCTTTGAAGCCAGGATTCTTTTGAGTACCTAATTCAGTTTGTGGCCAGTCCCATCAGCTGGGCTTGTGTGACCCTCTAGGCACAAAATGCTGGGAATTCTATGGATCTGGGAATTTGTTTGTCTCAGCCTCCAAAGAAATCTCTTAATTTAGCTTTATTTCAGAAAGGGCATCTATCCAATGTGAACGGTTTTTAAGAGTAAGATGGGGCAGCCATAAAAGGCACAAACGACAGAAGCACCGCAAAACGAGTGAGACCGTCTTAACATGAGCACTCCCTTTGTTCTAGGTATGAATGTGCTTCGCTTCTGCTCATCTACGGAGCGTACATTTTGGTGCTCTGCTTTGACATTAAAATCAGCCAGTACGTCATGAAGAAGTTTAGCCCCTGCTGCAGCTGCTTTGAAGTAAATGAGGATGAGGCTGAGCAGCAGCCGCTAATTGGATGGAAGGAGACCGGGGCCCTCATTCGTCGACAGTCAAGAGCAGACAGTGGGATTTTTCAGGATGAGTCCGATTATTCTCAACTTTCAATGAGCCTGCATGGACTAGATACCATTTCTGAAGGTAATCCTGTGACCTTTAGTGGTGGTTCTTTCAGAAAAGGGCTGATTCACCAGCCTGGCCCACTTTAGAAAATTCTAGTCTCCAAAGTTTTAGTAGCAACGCTGCCTATTTTAGAATTAGCGATATCTGAATCAATACGTTCTTGCGTAAAGTTTCTCAGTTGCAGAGATAATCTGAAGTTTGGCATTTGAAACAGTTTGTTTTGCAGTGCCTTATGTGAGGCTTAAGTCTGAAGGAGAACAGCACAGGTTGTGAAAAATGCCTGTCCTGGGTATTTTTTTTTTTGGGGGGGTGTCTATACTCCCTCTCCCAAAAGGAGCTGTTTCTTACTCTTGGGAGTGCTCCTGGGTTGCTTCTAGAGTGTCGTCACCATAGCATCTGAAAAGCCTTTCAGATGTACAGAGTGCTTTCACCTACATTTGGTCTTCTTGTAAGCCTTACAACAGACCGTGAAGGTATCCCCCCCACAGACACACACTACAGGCAGAGGGTTGGGGAGCTACCAGATGAGCTCACGACTAAGGCAAGATTCAAATTGGGGACTTTCTGATTTGCAGCTTAGGTGTCCCAAGCCTCCATCCTACACCAGCTCTCCGAGAGGCACAGTATTCGACCCTCTTTATCATTATTAAACATTTTTATCTCACATTTCTCCTGCAAAGCAAGACTCAAAGCGGCTGACAAATCAAGAAAATGAATTGGTAGAAGGTAGAAATAACGAATGGAACTTCTTCATTATTCTGCATGCTGATTCACTGCCCACCCTCTATATTATGACTGTTATTTCTATTTCCATTTCATCGTGTCTGAGGAAGTGTGCCTTGCACATGAAAGCTCACCTTGGTCTTAAAGGTGCCCTCCTGTACTAGATTGTCAGCCTAGCTAAGAGAAGAGTGCTCTGGGAGAGAGGCTGCAGGAGAATAAGCTAGGAGCGGATGGTGGAGGAAGGTGTAGCTCCCCTCACCTATACGTCCCTCCTGCACCCACTTTATATACCATTGCAACAGAAAGCTTCTAGTTTGGCCCTCGCACTCTGCTAAACTGGCACCTGCAAACTACTAGTAATGTGGAGATGCACCATGCTCTGTACTCAAGTGGAACACACGCAGCCGACTCCACGGAAGCTTGTCTGGAAGTTCCAAGGCCAATGGGCTTTCACCCAGAGTAAGCGCTCAACCTGAACCCAAGGCCCAGGTTACCTCTACCGTGTTTCCAGAAAGATTCTTTTTCCGTCAGAACTATACCACAGTACTGTACACAGTATAAAAAACCCATTATCATGTGCAATTACATTTATTGGTGTTGTGTTAACAAGGTAATTCTTTGTAATTCAAACAGATGGAGATAATGAGATTTTTTTAAAAAAAAAGCTAAAATGTAGAGGAAGAACTAGGCACTTCTTAAGGTTTGATTTGTTTGTAAAAATAGTCTCATAGCTTAACTCTTTTGACAGACCCTCCAAGTGTCTTCACTGTGCCTGAAGCAGACCTGAAAAGGATCCTATGGGTGCTCTCTCTCCCTATTCTTCTTCTGCTCTATTTGACAACACCTGACTGCAGAAGGCAGTTTTGGAAGAACTGGTTCATGCTGACATTCCTCATGGCGGCAGTGTGGATTGGGGCATTCACGTATATTCTTGTGTGGATGGTGACGATAGTAGGTATGTATTCGGCACAAGAGCAGAACCGTCACAATCTCCTTTCAGTGCAGTCCTCACTTTCCTAGTCATGAAATTAGCCATGGCACCTGAAGAACAGAAGCTTCACTGATTATTCCTTGATAATCTCGTTCAAAGATTGTAGCCCTTTTGCTCTCAGTCCAAGCCTGGATTATTTTTGAGGTTTATCAGATAGCAGGAGTGATTATTACACAAGTCAGATGTGGGCAGTGTTCCCTCTAAGCTGAGTTAGTGTGAGCTAGCTCGCAGTTTTTTGGCCTCTGGTTCACACATTTTTGTCTTAGCTCAGGAAGGATGGCTCCAGAGCAAACTGATTTATGTAGTAGCCAATTCGCTTGCTCACAACTTTAATGCCAGTAGCTCACAAAGTAGAATTTTTGCTCACAAGACTCCACAGCTTAGAGGGAGCATTGGATGTGGGGTGCAGTTCTGCTTCCCCAGTAGTATATGCACTTGGCTCGCTGGTTGCAAGGCAGCAGGGAGCAGAGGGAGGGAGACCCACCTGGGTTCTTTGGCAGATGCTGTGGTTTACGTGCAGTGATCCAGGATAGTCCAGAAAGCAGCCTCTCACGGGAAGCACTAAGAAGAAAGTTAGCACAGAGCCCTTCTCTCTGCCTTAATGGAAGGATTAGGCTAATCCTCCCGTTGGCTTGTCCACTCACCCTGCGTCCTACTAGGACAGATGTTATAGTACAAGATGGAGTAACAGCAGCCACCTTCATCCAGTTAAACCACTTATTTTGCACCATAAGCCATTCAGGAGCTTCAGTCACCCTCATTATTTTGACCACAAATCTTGCTGTTGGCAAAGTGATTCCTTAACAGCCTGTAGCCAAAAAGACAAGGCCCACGATTTTCATCAGAGCAGCTAACAGCTAGCATTATCCTGAATCTCTGTTGGATTCAATTACACCTTTACTGTTCAGTAAAGTACCATGGGTAAAGTGAACATTTTGTTTTCTGGTACTGGAAACTTGGAGGAGGGAGAGGGCAATGTTGACATCAACAGTTTAGAAATGGGGGGTCCAAACCATTACGAGACCCTTTCCGTCCATTTCTAGAGGTTCGGGCCGCCTTTCAGGCATCTGAGCTTTTAATAGCGATCTGGCTGGCAAGTCCTGTAGTGGAGGATTATCAGCAGACTTCACAGCCGCCTGCGCTCCCAAGGGAATTCCGTGTGCTGCTCTTTACAGAGCAGATGATTAAAAAGGGTTAGTGGTTCATGTGACTTCCCAGGGTTCATGTGATGAAGATGCCAAAACACAAACAGAAGGGATTACAGTCATCATGGCTGCTCCGGTGAAGACGGCTGTTGTCAAGGAGGACAGGCTTCGAAATATATTGGAAGAGAGACTCGGGGTGGGTTTTCTGGCTGCTTGCCGACAAAAGAATTTTCAAAGAGCTGGAAAGATTTTAGATAGTGTCGCTGAGCAGATGCAACAGGGCAGCTGAGGCTCATACTTATTCAGCGCAGTCCACCACACTGCTGCAAGCTTTTTATGTGTTTCCTGTTTTACACCTCACCTTTCGAGACTACCAGGTTTGTACACGAGATCTAATTGACTCTGTCCTTTGAAGAAAATGGAAGTGTTTGCTACTGATGACTTTTTTTCTCCCACCCCCATCCCACCTGCCACTACAGGGGAAACGCTGAAAATACCAGAAACCGTAATGGGCCTGACGTTGCTGGCAGCAGGAACAAGCATTCCAGACACAGTTGCAAGCGTGCTGGTGGCCAGGAAAGGTACGCTTTTGTCATTTCCACCCACATCTGTGTACGGCCGTGGGGAGAGAAGTTTCTCCATGTTCGTGCTTGAGCACAAGACCCAGCATGAAATTAACGTGATAAGCTTTGGATACATAATTCCTTCCTTCTACTTCTGAACCATTAAGGCTTAGGGAACAATTCAAGGAGTAATGATAAATGCTACCAAACAGTGGGGATTTGGCAGAAGGTGGAGGCCACCAGCCTTCCGCTCCACTCATGAGCTTCCAGAGGCATCTGTTTGCCCACTGCTGGAAAACAGAGTAGTGGCTGAATGGACCTCAGCTAGAGCCAGCAAGACAGTTTTTAATGGCTAGTCTCATGGAAGACACGTTAGGCTTGGTTGTTTTGTCTTATCATGATCAGTCCAATTCAAGACAAGGGACTGGCAAGGTAAAGCACTCCCCCCCCCCCCCCGGGTATGGCTTTAAGTGTGACGGTGAACCCCTGCGGACTGAGCAGCATGAGTACCCAGAAGGCCACAGACCACCAGAAGTGCAAGCTAAATACCTGCTGCTTCTGGGTCTGCGCTGCAGCGCCATCTGAACCAGACACCAAGTCTGTGCCGAGTCACACGGGGAAGGCTCTTCTGCCTCAGCAATTTCACATTTAAGCCAGACCAAAGATGTAGGGCGGCAGATGTTTACTCTTAAGCCTGGCATGCTTAAAAACATTTCCCCTCCACCCGTGATCTGGGTTAGCCCAGGCAAACCCGATCTCATCAGATCTCGGAAGCTAAGCAGGGCCAATCCTGGCAAGTAATTGGATGGGAGACCTCCAAGGAATACCAGGGCCAGGAGGCAGAGGCAGGCAATGGTAACATCCTCCATGCCCCAGCAGGAGTCGCCAGAGGTCGCCATGACTTCCCCAAAAAAACAAATACCCACACATTTTTCCTCCTTGCAGGAAGAGGAGACATGGCCATGTCTAACATCGTTGGATCCAACGTGTTTGATCTGTTGTGCTTAGGATTACCTTGGTTTATCAAGACCGCCTTCGTGGACACATCGGGGCCTGTGGAGGTGAACAGCAGTGGGCTGACTTACACGGCCATTTCGCTTGTCTGCTCCATCGCGTTTATTTTTCTGGCGGTCCACCTGAATGGCTGGAAACTCAACAGAAAACTAGGGGTGGTCTGCCTAGTGATGTATTTAGGATTTGCGGTATTATCAATTCTATATGAACTTGGAATTGTAGGAAATAATCCTATCACGGTCTGTGGCAACTAAGGTTTGTTTGTATGTTTTTAATAAGGTCAAAGTAAAAAAAAAGAGAAAGAAACATAAGCAATAAAAGGGACTAGCATTTTCATTTTGCTGAACAGGAATACGCCAGAGTTCCCCCTTGGCCCTCAAACTTATGTACAAGCAATTCTACACTGACATAAAAGTTATGTTAAAATTCAAAACTATCAGGAATTCAGTGAGAACATGAACATGTTCTTTCAGAGTGAAGAGCAGCAATGACTCTAATCACATAAAACCAAATTTGGAGAAGGGAGGGTGCGCATACCCTTTACATCAAAACTGCAGGATGGGCTACTGTGACACAAACAAGTCCCACTATACAGTCTTTGTTAACAGAGAGAAAAATGGCTTGTTTTATTAAAAACAGTAGGAACCATTCATTTAAACTGAATGACTAGAGACACTTAGCATGATTTTGGACAGGTATTAAGTCAACCACGGCTCCTGAAACTTCAAGGGAAGGAGGTGTGGAAGCTCATACTGCTGAAAGTCAGGAAAGGTTCTCTTCAAAAACCAAAATGTTGTTAAGAGTCAGTTAAACAGGTTCACAGTATATTAAACACTATACTGTTAAAGGCTGGTGGGTTTTAAAAGTTCAGTTTCTCCAACTTAAGTCAAGCATACAATGTTATACTAAAAATGACTTACTAAGGGGGCAGGGAGAGGAGAGAGGCGCTAAACAGACAAAGGAATGTTCCTGAACGTGTGGTTATAAATTATGCATTGCGATCCAAACGTACATCAATTTCTCTGCCACTGATTTTTATGCCGTTCATTATTCTACAGGCCTTCTCTGCCGATTCTGGAGAGTCAAATCTGACCGTTCCGCAGCCTTTTGATTTTCCGTTCTCCATTTTTATTTCTGCAAACATTACATGACCTGAACAGAGTTAAAACAAAAACAAAAACAAACCTCAGTTTAACGTCAAAACATGATGAGGGAATTAGAAGGCCCCTCCCCACAAACCACTTCAGATTGTTTATGTGTCCACAAATCTACTGTCCAGGCTAGATCTACTCATTTCGGATTTCTATTTTAATAGCTGCCATGAAAGACATCTTGCAGCCCACGGTTCATCACGAGATGCTCCAATAAGTGACACTCTCGCCACACTGAGCTCCAGGCCTACTTCAGTGCACCCCAAACCTTTTCTACTCTAGCTTCCAGCCGTATACCTCTCCTTTCTCTACCTTCACTGCCAGCAACCTGCCTCACCTGCCATCTCAGATTCCTCCCTTCTCTGTTTTTCATGCTGTCTCCCCAAACACTGTCTATCTTGCTAATTTTTCTCTAAGTCTGAACCAGAGCACGTGTCTCTCCCTGCCCCCCCCCAGCCTGAAGCAACAGGGTAGGATCACATACTTAAGAAAATCCAGCAAAAAAACAACAACTCAGTGTAAAAGCAAGGCAATTATCCTTAAACTTCTAATACAAGAATCCCCTAGATGCCCCAAGTAGCAGAGCTTGACACATGCATTTCTTGGACAGCTCTACAAATGGCCCTGCACTTCACAGTTCTATGTTCAGACTATGTTTGTTAGTGGGTGAGGCACTTAAAATCCATGTTAGGTGGATCCAATACAAAAGGACTTCCTGTGCACTTTCAGTCACCCAAGGAGGACTCACTTCATACTAGAATAGAACAAGTTTACACTACGCTTTTTAAAAAATATCTCAACTTTGAGAGCTATATGGAAGTTACCATAAAGATCACATTTCATGTGCCAAGCAAATAAAAAAGGAAGATGTCATTAAAGAACAAAAGCATAAGCAAATATTTTTGTAACAATTTAAGCTAGCAAGAAAAGCTACAGAAAATAAGCTTTAGTCAACAAAACTGGACAATTCCAGGAATTCCAAAGCAAGATATATTAAAAAAAAAAAGATTTCAAAGGTGCAGGGTCAAGGAAAGTTTTAAGAATCCAAAAGGCAACAGTATGATATGAAAAGTCTTCCTTTCTAGCTTAAGTACTCCATTAAAAGCCACAACCACCTCTTTCTTCTTTGTATACATTTCACCAAAATGGAGAAAATGAAGATGA